GTGTGTTTTTTATTGTTGGTGGGTGAGGAGGGGTGGTGGAGGGGCTCTGTGTTCTTGGCAGGGAGGGAGGGAGGAGGGGAGACTATATTTTGAAGGGAGCGCTGGAAGTAAGGGATCCGTTTAAACGCCCCAAATGGTCCCCCACTTGCTGGCTGCACACACAACCCCTAGGGCTGGGACAGACATTGCAGAAAACGGTTTGACCCAGATCAGTTAAGTCTGATACCAGGTTTATCTCAAAACCAGTTGCAGCCATTTTGAAACTGGTTTATGTGCACTGAACTTCTGTTCTGTTACAGGGTTAAACCAGTTTCTGATCCCTTAAACCAGTTTGTGTGTCACGTCTGCCCCTAGATCCCCAAATTTGCATTTGCTTGTGATCCCTTGTCAGCCCTTAGCCCCAGGCAGGCACCGAGGCTTTGCTTGAAGAGCTGCAGAGCCCTGCTGCCCTGAGGCTAAGCCACGGAGATGGCTAGAGGAAGGGTTATGGGGGTGCCCTGGTCCCCCCAACAAGGGTCCTCGTCCCCTGGCAGAGCGAACACATGCAGCAGAGAGGGCTCAGGTGCCCTCTGGATCTAAATGTCTCCCCTACTTTGGCAGAGGGGGGCAGTGACTCTTGCGCCCTGCGCTAGGTTAAGTTAAGGAACCGCCATCTCAGCCCGAACGTATTGCACAGCAAAGCAGCTCTCCGCACGAATCCTGCCTCAGCACAGAGCCCCCCACCCCTTGCAGACCCAAAGCAGCCAAAACGCCTTCTGCAGCTGCAGGGCTTTTATACTGAGACAGGGCTTTCTCCCTGCCCCTTCACTCTTGATGGAAGGGTGGCTTAGCCAATCCCTGCCCTCTGTGCCAGAGCAGGCTCCTCCCCCTTTCTGCAAGCAGCTGTTTCTGCTGGAGGCTTGGAGGGGGGGGGCTTCTCATTAGCTATTGGAGCAGTTCGCCTGGCTGCGCGGGGCTCTTGCTGCGGGGGGGTGGGTGAGGAAGCGAAGGGAGGGCACATGTATATTATGCATGGAAGAGCTTACCCCGTGAAGGGGCAGAACAGCGTGCCTGGGGCCCTTAGCCCGCGTCTCCTATAGCTTTCCCCGCTCCAGGCTGGGGCTGGGTTCCTGCTCTCCTTCCTCCCCATCCTGCTTTTCCAGACCTGCCACCATAAGCCCCTGGACCTGACAGGTGGTTTGCCTGCCCTGGGTGCCTTGCCCGGGGACCTGCTGTGCTCATCTCACAGATGCAAATGTAAGGTTGGAAAGCTGCGGTGCTGGGGGAAGGCCTTCCCCCAGCTCCCCTCCTGTCCTCAGGGCCCTGATCCTCCAAGGATCTCACTGAGTCAGTGGGCATCAGGCCCTTAGGGGGACCTGAGGCTGTGCCTGGGGCATGGCTGGGAACAGGGACATTCCCCTCCCTGGTACCAGCCTGGCCCGAGGAAACCCCCCCAGGGGCCCTGATGCATTGCATTTGTTGGGGAATCTCCTGCTGCCCAACCTAGGGCACAGATAAACCCACCACACTTACCGCCAGGATGCCCACTCCTGCCACCCTGCCCTTCATCTCCTGGTTGCACCCGCAGAGAGTCCAGCAGGCCAGCCGGCCGGCCATGGACTGGGGCCCGTCCCTGGAGGAGGACAGGACCGGGATGTACGTGGCCACCCTGGCGGGCAGCCAGTCCCCCAAGCCCTTGATGGTGCACATGAGGAAGTACGGGGGCATCACCAGCTACGAGAACACGGCCATCGAGGTGGACAAGGAGATAGAGGAGGAGGAGTCCATGATGTGAGGAGGTCGCAAGCCCTGCGGGGAAAGGAGAATGGGGCACGGGGGTCCTCTCCCCATGAACTTGCACAGTTGCACTTGGGCTTGCGGGCCTGTCCCAGTGTGGTCGGGGGCAGCCCCTGGGACACCCCGGCCTCTCCAGAGCCGTCTGCGGAGACTCCTAGTGTCGTCGAGGTTCTCGTTCAGTGTGGCAAGCTGTGTCATGACTCCGTGTGTTCGTGTGCCAGTGTCCGGTCCCCACCCCTCCCTTCCCTTTGCACAGACGGCACCAGGTGCAAGGGAGTGGGGAACAAGGCCCCTCGGGAGGTTTCCCCTTTTTGCTGCCCCTCATCTAACTCTGATGCCCAACTAACAGTCTGCAGAAAGGCCTTCTTCACTGAGGCCCAACAAGAAACCCTTGCTTTCAGAAGGTGCCACTTGTGCCCTCTCTCCTGGCAGCTCGAGGCCCACTTTGAGGTGAATCCAGAACCTCAGGGGAAGGGGGTTTAGGAGCCCTCCCTACTGACTGGGGCCGGAGATGAGCATGAATGAGGCGTGGCCTTGGCCGGGAGTCAGCGCATCCCTGGCCTGGACGCTCACTGCCCCCACATACCCCCTCCGCCCCCTGTCTGTGTTCCTGGGAGTGGGTGGCTGTGCCGGGTGCTTCCCTATGCCTCAGCCCCCCAGGGCTGGCAGCGTCTCTGTGTATGGTGCCCATGTCAGACGCTCATCTCCTGCCGGCTCCTGTGTCTGGGGGGGGCAGGTGCCCTCTTTGAAGGCACTGCTCCAACCGTGCCCCGCAGTGTCCAGCAGGGCCGTGGTCCCCGCATGTGTTCGCTGGTGTGCGTGTCCCCTCGGCTCCGCAGTAAACACCAGTGACGATGCATCCGTTCGTGCCCGCTGTGCTCTCAGCACACTCCCCCTCTTCCTCTCTCTGTCCTTTGCACTATTAAAGCACCTAGTGCATTCGTGTCTAGCTGCCACCACGTGGGAAAGCATTGTTATTTCCTCGGAGGGCTCTGCAGCGCCTTTCAGATCCCTTCATTAAGAGCTTAGACGTGTCCCCCTATGCTGGACTCAAGCAAACACAAACACCAGCCCCTGGCAGGTTCAGGCTCTATCCGTGTAGTCCTAGAAGCCATCTGGGCCTGGTGGCTTCCTTGGGTAACCAGGGGCCGTGGCAGAGAGGTCACCAGTCCGTGATCGTTTGCTCTGCCTTTTCCTCCAGGTTTTGAGGCACCAAAAGCAGAAGTCTCTGCTGCTCCCAGACAGGCAGTGGTTCAGAGCACGTTTGTCCTGGGCAGGCTAAATGCACAGCAGGCAACCCCTACCGATTCAGGTCTCCAGAGAGGCCTTTCCCTGGGAGCGACCGGGCAATGGCTGTGGGTCGGGGACACAAAGGACACGGCTCCCTTCCCAACTTAGCCCAGCGCCACCTTTGCACTCCTCTCACCGCAGCTCCCTGCCTTGGAGGATGGGGGGGCACTGACTTCCACCCCCAGCTCTGCAAAACAGGACCCATGCCCTTCTGCACATCCCAGCAGCCCAACCCCTTCCTTGATGCCTGCTCACGCCCCCAGGTGCACTCACAGGTGGGCAGGGAGAGACGCCGAGGGCAAAATCGAGGTCTGCTCGCTGGGGCATCCTGTTATCCAGGCTACCTGAGTGCCAGTTGTCCCAGAGGTGCCCGGCTGTGCTGATTCCAGCAGGCGGGCGCATGGCTGCATTAGCAGCTGGGGCTGGGGAGAGACATAGCGATTTCCCATCACTTTTTGCCCTAATGGAAATGGCACATTTAATGATTTCCCCTCCTCAATATGGCATCTCTCGCTGGGCTCAGGGCTGGGTGGATCTCGCTCTCCTGCCTGGTATCTCGCTGGCCCCCCATCCCACCTTGAAGGGATGACAAACCGAGGATGCACGGGAGACGTGCCTCCCCATGCGCCCTGATGGCTCAGGGCCTGGGCAGAGCAATAGGAGGTGAAGGAACAGATGACCCCTCGCGCCAAGGAGCTGAGACGGGCACAGAGCTTGACGTGCTCCGCGGTAAAGCACTTTGGGTGACATCTCCCCCCGCAACCTGCACTTTTCTATCTCTCATCTCTTCCCCTCCCACCTCCTAAGGGAAATCCCGCTATCGCAGCCAACAGACCCAAAACAAGCTCTGTAGCCCCAGGCTGAGGGCAAGCCCTTGCTGAAGACAACTCTTCAGCCTTGAGGAACGGCTGAATGGCCCATGTCTGTCCTGGCATGGGAGGACGTGCCATAGCCTGGTGTGACACGGGCAGCAGTGCGGGAGGTGCTGGGGCCAGCCCTGCTGGGTGGCTGATGGGGCCAGGCTTGGAAATGCTGCAAGGAAGGGACGCCAGAAGCCATCTAGGTCTCCGTGGCCTCCCATATTGTTTGGGGGAGTGGTGCAGAGCCATGCCTCTCCTTTCCGCTGACTCTGTGCCTCTCTGGGTCCAGCCTGGGTTGGCTGCTGGGATGTGGGTCCCCGGGGCCATGGAGTTAAGCGGGGGATATTCCTGCCCCGGCCATGGGGATCATCCTCCCAACTATTTGATGCCCATTGCTTGGCTGGAACGGAGGAAGGATGTGGATGCTTGGCCTGCCAGAAACCCCTCTCCTCTGGCCCCTGGCCCCGCTCCTGCCCCGTGGCAGGGCAGAACAAGCTGTGCCCAGGGCCCAGGGGTTAATCATTAGAGGCCTGTCATAAAGGTGGCGTTGGTGGAAAGTTCAGTTGAGGGTGGGGGCTGAGCCGGGTGCAATAAAGATTTATGGCTGGGGGGGAACAACTTGCTCTAACCTTGACACTGTGTACCCACAAGGAGGCGTCAGCACCGAGTTTTATGGTGCCCATGGCCAGCCATTGGGTGAGGCGCGGGGAACCTGGGAGCAGATTGGCTCAGGGAGAAGGGAGCCGCCAGCGGATTGGCTTCAGAAGAGAGAGCTATGCAATGGAAGGTGCTCATTGGCTCAAGCAAGGGCAGCTAGGGCAGGGCGAATTGAATTGCTGGCTTGCTAATCTTGGGCTGAGAGGTGCACTGTGTCGGGAAGATGGGCTGCCCCCATGGCCCTGTCCCCTCTCCCCCAGACCCTTCTGCCATGCCCCCAACAGGTCACCTCAACGCCGGGTCTGTCCCCAGCCTGCCTCAAGATCCAGGGGCTTCAGAGAGGGGGTTCAGGTGAAGCTGAATCTCCCCCATTGTAGGAGCGTCTGGCGGGGGGGACCTGCTCTAGATTGGGGCTGGCATGGGTGAATCGCCCACACACCGGCAAAGGGCTGGTCGTGTGGAAACTTCCTGCTGCTGGCATGGTTGGTTTCCCATGGGAATGAGGTGGCGATGCCCTGGCTTGAGCAAACATTGCTGCCACAGGAGGAAAAGGCCATAAAACGTTTACTGAGATCCGGACTCGCACAACTGTTCACTGCACACCACTGCCATGCCAGGGAGGGAGGAAAGCAAACACCCCTGTGCACCCCCTGGCCTGGAGCACACACCATCTCCCCATTTATGGCTGATACACATGAGGATGCACACAGCATCCACGCAGAGAGCCTAGGGGAGCTGGGCACCCCATTCAGGCCCTGAGGGTCCAGATGGCTTAGACACCTTTGCAACCCTGACACCCATGAAAGGGAGCTGAGCTGCAGCAATAGCAAAGCCCCCTCTCCCTCCTCCCTGAACAAGCCATCTCTGGGGTGTCTGTAGCCGGAAAGCTGGCTATGTTTGGTGTGGCCCCCATGGAGAAAGCAGCCGCTGAGGAGTTTGCAGGGAGGTCTCCAGGAGAGCCAGGGGGTGCAACGGGTGCTGCTGACTGCAGAAGGGGTGTCAGGTGGAGTCAGTGAAAACAGCAGCGAGTCCTCCCCGGTGCCCTGCTCGCACCAGGGAAGAAGCGCTCTAAAAGATGTGTGCACCCCCCTTTCTCAGCTTGATGGGTGGGAGCAAAATGGACCTTGGAGCTGCAGGGATTGGGAACCAAGCAAGGCAGTGAGATGATGTTCAGTGCATTGGCATGTGGTTGGGCCTTGTCTGCTTTCCTGGCTCCGAGGCTAGTGGTCTACTAGAAACTGGGACTGGACCACCCAGCCCCCATGTCGTGACCAGAGATGAAATGGGGGATGTGGCACTGGCCTCTGCTCGCAGGTTCAATCCCAGCTGGGCTGACCCAGGCCCACTTCCCTGTGGGGGATGCAATGTGGGGGCAGCTGGGTGGAGAGGAGACCTCCCCTGTCTGCTTTTTTCAGGGCTAGGACTCCCATGACTCTGCAAGTGTCCCAGGTTTGCCCCTGTGGCCTGAGCTATGCTACGTTTCTTCCCCACCCTCCTGCTCTGCACGGGCCAGCTACCATCTCGCACCCCAGAGGTGGCTGCATTGCAGTGGCGCTGTGTGTATCTGATCAGGGACTATAGGACATGCCTATGATTTATGACCCTGACTAGTAATGCCCACACAGCGAGAGGGTGGGGTCGGGCTTCTGAAAGGCCTGGGAGACCTCTGGGTCTGTAACACCAGAGCATTGCAGAGCTACAGCCCATGTTCCTACCCATGAAACTGCAGCTGTAAATAGGCTGGCACAGAGCTTTACAGCAAAGCTGGCCCTGCTTCATCCGCTCCCTTGAGACTGCGAGGGAAGGCTCCTGGCACAGCAACCCAGGCAGAACCCAAGCAAAATGAAATGCAGACCACATCTGTGGGGGGCACCAGGCTGCATCGGGCAGCTTGGGTGGGAGAGAAGGTAGATAAATTTGTGGGGGCTGGAGGAAGAGAAGGAGCTGGAGGAAGGGAGCCATGGTGACATGCAGAGCAGGTGGGGTATTCGGGGGTATCAGCAGTGCTATGAAGTTCACGGTCAGTGCGTGGGTCAAACCTGTGCTGCGGGAAGGAAATGCCTGTTGAAGCCACGTTCTTCTGCTCCCATCTGGTGGAGACAGCTTGGCATTACATGTGAGGCCTTAACATCCTGTAAGGGAGGTGAGGGCTGCCCTCATGAGTGCATAGGGGTATCCCAAATTCCCAGATCTGGGGACTGCCCAGGGGTTTCAGATGGGGCTCCTGGCTGTGAGATCAGCATGGCAGCACACTGCCTCGCTGCCCGGCAGAAGGGCCTGAGCATGCAGAGTTGGGCACCTGGACCTGGTTCCTGCCCTGCTTTAAGCAGAGCATGAAGCATGAAGCATCTGCATGAAGCATCTGCATGAGGCAGAGCAAACTCCCCCAGACAGGGAAGCTGCACCTGGATGGGGAGCAGCCCTGCTGCATTGCTCCCCGGCTGGGAGCCTTTGGCTGTTCTGGAGGAGACTCTTCCAGCAGATAAGACTCCCTGGGCTCTGCCAGAGCTCAGCTGCCCACCAGACTCCTCATTTGTGCTAAAATCTTCAGGGCTGGGCCCTTGCTCCCAGATTCCTGCCCTGGCAGCAATGGAGCTGAGGCTGCCAAGTGTGACATGGGCACGCCACCAACATCTGCCTTCCAGCCACTGCTGCTCCAGGTCAGGCTGTC